AAGGACCCTGGTGAGCTCCCCTTATTCCTTCTCTTCAGCAAAAACTTTTTGATTTACCAGCTCCCTGGTTTGTGGGCAGATTTCTGCATTTTGTCCCAGGATATTCCCGAGCAACAGAGGAAGAGAGAAGTTTCTGTCCCTGTTTGCTGCTGCTTCTCAGCCCATGTTGGCACAATAGGAGCAGAGGAGCTACACCCTCAGAATTCCAAAGGCCTCTGCCTCACCAGAGAGAGGTGACAGAGCTGGAGGCACTGGGATGGACATGGAAAAGGGAAAGAGGTACTGGCTAGAGGAGACACTTGTGCCAGCAATCCCTGCAGAAAGACATCCATGAGCAAGAGAATGCCACAGCACCCTGGGAATCTGAGGGCATGCAAGGAGCACATAGGGGTGTTGTAAATGCATCTGTGAGCACCTGGAGGGGGCAGAGAACCAGGAATAGGAATTTTGTGACTGTTCTGCAGCGCTGTCAGGAAACCCCAAAGTTTCAGTCTCAAGAGAAGCTTTGATTTGGGTCCACACAAGGTGCCCAGGGCCCTGACCCCCAGCTGGGTGAATAAAATCCCACTGTCTGTTAATTGTGTCTCCATATCCATGTGCCAGGAGCTAAATACTCTCTGGATCTGGCCTTGTGGAGCTCTGAAATCACTGTCTTGTGTAGCTGATCTCACTAGATGGGTAAGGAATTGGCTGGATGGTGCATTTAGAGAGTTACAGGCACTGGCTCAAGGTCCAAAAGGAAACCAGTAACATGTGGGTCCCTCAGGGGTCCACACTGGGACCTTCCCTGTTTTATGTCATCACCAGTGACCTCAGATGGTGGGACTGTGCCTGGTCACATCCAGAGGGACCTGTAGGGCTGGAGGAGAGGGCCCTGCAGACCTCCTGAAGGTCAACAAGGGCAGGGTCCTGCTCCAGGGTTGGCACAATCCCCAGTGTAAGCACGGGCTGGGGATGGATGGATGGATGGATGGATGGATGGATGGATGGATGGATGGATGGATGGATGGATGGATGGATGGATGGATAGCAGCCCTGCACAGCACTGGGGGATGCTGGTGGGTGACAAAAGGGACATGATCAGTCCCTGTGTGCTGGTAGCATGGAATGCTGAGTGCCTCCTGGGCTCATCCCCAGCTCTGGGCAGCAGGGTGGGAGAGGGGATTCTCCCTCTCTGCTCTGACCCCTCCTGGAGTGCCACATCCAGATCTGGGATCCCTGGCACAAGACAGACATGGACCTGTTGGAGCAGGTCCAGAGGAGGCCACAGGAATTCTCCAAGGGCTGGGACAGCTCTGCTGTTGAGACAGGCTGGGAGAGCTGGGGGTGTTCAGCCTGGGGAAGAGAAGGCTCCAAGGAGACCTCACTGCAGCCTTTCCATACATAAAGGGGTTTATAAAAGAGGTGGAGAGAGACTTTTTACCAGGGTCTGTTGTGAGAGGAGAAGGGATGAGTGTTTTAAACTGGAAGAGGGTCAGTTTTAGAATGGACATAAGAAATGTTGTATGATGAGGGTGGTGGGGCTAATGCTGAGTTCAGTTAATTAAGGCTGTGATTGTAAATGAAGGGAGGTTTTAACAGGCAGAGGCAGCAACAGGAGCTAATGATGGGTGTAGGGAAGGTGGAGAGACACCTTGTACCAGGGTCTGTCCTGGCAGGACAAGGGGCCAGGGAAGGGCTTCCCACTTCCAAAGGGCAGGGTTAGATAGATATTGGGATGAAATTCCTCCCTGTGAGGGTGGGGAGGCCCTGGCACAGGTTGCCCAGAGAAGCTGTGGCTGCCCCTGGATCCCTGGAAGTGTCCAAGGCCAGGTTGGACGGGGCTTGGAGCAACCTGGGCTAGTGGAAGGTGTCCCTGCCCATGGCAGGGGGTTGTGTAGATGATTTTGAAGATCCCTCTAACCACAACCATTCCTGGTCACTCAGTATCACTACCTCCTGCCTCTCTAGATTACACCCACCAGAAAATAAAAGAAATAAATACAGACAGAACTTTTCCCACAGCCTGTTCCACATGGAGACAATGCTGTGGGGCTCCTGAGTGAGGTGTTTGCAGCAGCCACCTGAGGCTGAGGCTCCTGAGCTGCCCTATGGGACCAAGACAGCCAGGGCAGGTCCTGCCCCAGGGCACAGCTCAGCTCTGCCAGGTGCAGCATGGACAGAGCCAAATAAAACAGGAATAAAAATGTATTTTATGTGATTCTTTACGAGTAATGAAGACAGAAACTTCCTTGCTCCCCAGGAGGGAATACCCCGGGTGTGAGGGCTGCTCTGCCATGGGAGTGAGTGTGGAGAAAGGGTAGTGCCAGCCTGGCCATGCCCCTGGTGCCAAGGGCTTTGCTGGGCCAGTGCAGAAGCTCACACAGGGGAGCCACAGATGTGCAGCAGGAGCAAACTCTGCCCCTCTGCAGCTGGTGACAGTCAGGCCACAAACCTACCTCTGAGGGGCTCTGCAGAGGCTGGAGCACCCCAGCACCCCCAGAGCTCTCTGAGAGCACAGCCAGGACCCTGAGCCCCCCAAAAACCCCACTCCCAGGAGTGCAGCTGGCCCTGCCAGGCTCTGCAGCAGGGCTGCACACAGGGACTGCAGCAGGGAATGGAGCCTCCATTGGATCCCAGAGATCCAGGTGCCACCTGGTGTCCAAACACAGCTCTGCACCAGGACCCCCAGCGCCCAGAAACAGGGAATTTGGCCTGTTTGAAATGGAAATAATATCCCCATCAGGGACTTCCAGGCATGGGGCAGCACAGCTTCTCACAAAACCTGAGCCAGGGCCTCACCACCCTCACAGGAAGGAATTTCTCCAGTGCATCCAACCTAAACCTCCCCTCTGCCAGTGTGAAGCCATTCCCACTTGTCTGTCACTGCAGCTCCTGCTGCAGAGTCCCTCTTCAGCTCTCCTGTGGGCCCCTTCAGATGCTGGAACTTTCTCTTCTCCGGGCTGAACAGCCCCAGCTTTCTCAGCCTGAAGGACCTTCCAGCCCACAGAGCCTTCAGAGGTGGCAGAGGAAGGCAGGTTCCAGGCCTGCCCATGGATTCTGGAGAACTGCAGGTCCCTCAGTGCTCTGTCCTGTCCTCTCTGCTTGCTGAGGCAGAGGGAATCAATCACCCACTTCTACCAACCTTGTCTTTTCTATAGAATACAGAAAGCAGGGCCTTGACAGCCCTCAGCCAGGGTGATGTGAGGGGAGACACAAGGATGAGCTTTGCTGGGCTGGTAGATCAAGGTGTGAGGTGGCCCTTAAAGGGTAGGTCCTACCTTAGTCCCGTGTGTTGTTCAGCTGGCTGAGAACTTTCTTTGGAGACAATCCCTGTGGAAGCAGTCGAGGTGCACAGGAGGGCAGGAGAACATTCCTCATTCCAGAACAACCAAGGAGTGGAAAAGGTGGTGGGAAGGAGTTGCTGCAGATGACTGGACATTCACTGAAGTGCTTGGAGTGAAGCTGCAGGCAGGGAACGGGAGCATGAAGCCTTTTCTCTCAGTGCCTTCAAGGTCTCCTCTCAGCCTCTCCCCTGGAGCATTAACTGCAGCCTTTGCCAGCCCACCCCGTGTTTTAGGGGGCAGCCAAGCAGTTTGGTGCCAGTGATGTGGAGTTTCAGGTGTGCCACCTTCCCTGGGGTATCAAGGAGTGTGAGGGTGTCAGGTTCACCCTGCTCTCACCCTGGAGCCCATCACAGGGTGATGTCAGGGATAGATGTGGCTCCAGCAGCCCTGAAACACCGGAGAGCAAGATCTCTGCAGACCAAATTTCTGTCCCAGCCATTTCCAAAAGCAGGGAAAACAAATCCACCTTTAAAAACCCAGGTGAGATGATGCTCCAGACCCCAGCCCTGTTTCAAAACACAGGAGACAGTGGAACTCTGAAAAGACAAAGCCTGGGCAGTGCTGGGGGAAGAGGTGGCTGGGGGGTCTGCAAGGTGAAGTCGTGTCCATCTTCATGCTAAGAGAATTACAGGGGGAAATTCCCTTTTTATTCCAGACACAAGGTGGGAGCCTGGATTCCTGCTGTGAATCAGTTTTGCCATAAGGGTGGGGACAGCAGCAGAGGGAACACCCCAGCTCTGTGACACCAGGGGAGATGGCAAGCTAGGAAGAAACCAATTTATATTCTATTGTTTTCTATTATTCTCCAAGTCTGGCCAGTGAGTGGAGCAGCACTTTGTGTCTCCTGAGCTGCCAAGAACATTTTCTCAGGTGCAGAACACTGGGAACAAATACAGCTGATCAAACAGGGGTCAGAATAAGGTCTGTGGAGCCCAGTGGCCAAATAAATGCAGGAATGGCACAAGCCCAGGGTCAGCACACAGCAAGGCTTCTCCAGAGTACTCACCCACAATTTGTGCCCAGAAGTGTCTTTGTATTTACAGCCCCGAGTCTTCTTTCCCCTGAGACCCTTTTTGGAACCATATCCCCAGTACCTGGTGGCAAAACCTCATGTGGCTCAATTTGGTGTGTGCAAAACCACTTCTTCTGAGCTGCCCCTTGGTAGTTAAATCACATGGAATCATGGAATCACAGAATGGTTTGGGTTGGAAAGGAACTTAAGGATCACCTCATTCCAACCCCCTGCCATGGGCAGGGACACCTCCCACTATCCCAGGTTGTAGTTACATGAACCACAAACCAGCCACCACCAAGGGATTTGGGACAGTGAGAGTGCAAAAAGAGCAGGCTGTTATGGGCACTGCAACACAAAGAAAGCATGATATTTAAAATAACAGCAGGAAAGATTTCCTGCTTCAGCTCTGCAGCTTCCTGCAAAGCTTTTACTGGATTCAGAGGCATAACCAGGAGTGTCCACTACACTTGGCCTCTTGTAAGGGAGCTCAGGGTGCTCTCCTCATGTGCAGTGAAGCTGAAAACTCACCAGCATTTACTCTGAGGAGAATTCCCTCCATTCATTCAGACAGTGGATGACACTACCCTGCCAGGGATGTGCTTGATCCTTGGAAAAATAGGAGCCAGAAAGGTGTGAGGATTAAACAGACAAACAACAGGTCAGGTAAGAAAAATACTGCCTCTTATTTAATGTTTAAAGACATCAGTAAACAAACAGAACCGTACAGACAGAGGCTAAACCCTCCCAGCTCCCCAAACAGCACTTCCAAACCACCACAGGTACCAGGTGACAGCTCGGGAGAGGGAGCAGCAAAGTCTGGGATTTGAGGGATGGCTGAGCCAAATCTCTGCTGTGTGAGGGTAAAAAGACACAGGACTTGGAGGAAGCAGCTTCCCTCACCCATGTCTGCTGGGTGCAGTCAAGAGGGAATGGTTTCCCCTCGGAGCAAGCAGCCCAAATCTCTTGCTAACACACAGAAGGGCCATGTGTGAACGTGGAAAAGACAGCAGGGAGCTGTGTTAGAGGTGTAAGACACACCATGTACTGACCTTGTTCCACAGGGATTTTAGCCTCTTGGAGAATAAACACACCAGGGAAGTTGGGTCTCCCAACTCAGCAGAGTGTTGCAGAACTCGTTTGTGAATGCAAATCTGGGTGTGGGGGGAAGGAACAAGCCTACGCTCTGCAAACATCCTTCCATCCCTTGCTCCCTGCTCCAGGGACACTCCCCACCCTGACCCCACAACTGGCCTGGTCTCCAATAGTTTTTCTCGAGCTGTGGAGCATCAGAGGGTTGGAAGGGCCATCAGGAAGCAACTCAGTGCAGGCTGCAGAGCACAGTCGAGTGGTACCTGAGTGGAGGGCTGGGGAGAGCAGGAGGGATCCGGTGGTGCCGGAACAGAGGCAGAGATGGCAGGCACAGCTGCTCCAGCTCCTGGCTGGCAGGAGCCTGCAGGGGAGTCACAGAGCACAGGTAAGTCTCTGAAGGCAGTGCCAAGGCTGCCAGCCAGCACACAGCACAGATCCCTTTTCCCAGAGCAGTGACAGCTGGAACCGTGACACGTGGTGGAAACTCAGGAACACGTTTCACTGTTCTCTGCCTCTCCGGGTGGCAGAATCCTGCAGTGGTGCTGTTCCTGCTGCCACCATGTGCAGTCTAAGATGAAGGGAGGGCTCCTACACAGCCCAGTTAAGTGCTCCAAGCATCCCTGTCCAACGTGGGATGCCCAGCAGTCCAGAGCCCTCAGATCTCCACGTCGCTCTCTTTGTCGTTGTCGTGGTCACCGTCGTAAAACTCGTTGGCAGCCTCGGGCCTGGGCAAAGAGAAACCCCTGTCAGGGAGGAGAGGGAGCCCTGGCACCCCTGGGGCCCAAGGTCAGAGGATGCCCTGCACCCAACCACCCTGTGGAATGTCATATAAGGACACCACATGTTCCTAGAGAAGCTCTCTGAGTGAAACTTGAGACCTGGAGGTGTCTGCCGAACTATTTGCACATGACAGATTTCTAGACACTTTTTGCTGCTAGTTTTGTGTAATATTTATTGAACATTTTTGACAAATAATTTATTGTTGTAAGCCTAAAAGTGCTTCTTTGAAAGTTTAAAGAAACTTGACCAAAAGACAGTACAAAAGCACTGGCACTCGAATGTCGAATGTCACCGTGTGAAATTATATTTTCTGGGGTACTGAGAGCTTTTAATGTTTAAGTCATATTAAAGCCTTCAGTCAAACTAAGCAGACCTGGCATTGGCAGTATAGCCATAACTTTCTGACAGTAAAACAAAAGTTGGCAACTTAAAATTAAACATGCCAAGGTTTTGATACACTTAAGATGATCTCTAAGGTCCCTTCCAAACCAAACCATTCTAGCATTCTATGACTTGTTAGCTGTTCTAGGAAACACAGTCTCCAGTCTATCACCCACCCATCCCAGCAGGGACAGAAAGGGAAGCCCATTTCTCCAGAACAAGCTCTGGTACCTGCTGTAGTTCTCCTCAGAGCCTCTCTCCTCAGGATCGGGCTCATCCGTGCGATCGTAGCTGAGCAGGTCCGAGGGCACGTCGTGGATCTGCACACTGGGAGCGTGGTTCAGCATCTTCAGGTTCTCAAATATGGTCTGCCTGATCTGATCCAAGTACTGCATGGAAAAAACAGACAGGGATCACCCCAGTGGGGCTGTCAGTCAGCATTGTTACCTGCCTGCACCACCTAAGTGGGGAAAAATTTGTGTGAAAAGCCATTTATCAGAGCAGAGGAGGTGGGAGAGTTACTTCAATCATTGATACTCAAGCACACAGGAAACAGTGAGACAATCCAGCAAGGGTCTCAAATGCTTTGGGATTTCCTGACATCCCAGAAAGGGATGGTTCTTGGTTTTTGTCCGTTTTCTGCCCTTACCTGGGCTCTACCTGGTTTCACAGGACAGAGCATCAACCCCAGGGTTCTGGAGGTTCATAGCTGAGATTGCAACACAATTTTAAGCACTCACCTGCCTGGAGTTCTGGTTTTCAATCCTTGTGCTGACATCAGGGTGGAGGGTGAAGTCTGGAGCGAAGTATTCGAAGTACTCTGTGGTGGGAGGAGGCAGAGTTAGAGCCCAGAGGGACAGGAGCTCTGCAGGGAGCACAGCTCAGCCTCCCCCTGCCCACCAGAGACAGGGCCTGAACAGCACAGAGAGGTGCTGCAAGGGACTGCAAAGCCAAACAGAGCAAACAACAGCAACACTGGGCTCACTGAGTAGGAAATGATCCAAGTTAAATGATCCAGGATGTGTCTGCCCAGCAAAGTCTACAGTGGGTGGTAG